TGCTCTCCCCGTCTCCCTCCTCCCTCCTTTCACTTGTTTTATGTCACCAACATACAGCATATTTACTATTCTGCTTCAGTTTACTATATTGCTTCAGTTTTGTTTTTTTTTATTTCAAACTCCCAGCATCAAGCACGCCTGGCTCTTGGCTGTGTTTTAAATATTATGGCTTCAGTCCATCATGTTGAAGCCCTGGGGCCCGTCCTTGATATTTTCTGTTTATAAGGGGCCATTTCGGGGTGCCACAGACCTGAGTCTGACCTAGAGTGAACTTCTTTGTACCTTATCTAACTTATCACACCTTCCCTGCCCTGTACAGACAATCAGAGAGAGGCACTAGACTGCCCACCATCAGGAATTACAGTTTAAGTGGGCTGGATGATGGAATGCTCTACTCTGTCCCCTGTCTTCTACTATCTCCAGGATATCTAAGGATGTCACCAATCAACAATCTTGCTTCTAAGGTGTTCTGATGATGTGATAGATGAATAATGAGCCACTCCCCCCAAATGTTCATGTTCTAATTTCTGAACCCTGTAAATGTGCCCTGTGAGGAGGGTGAGAAGGTGTAACTGCATTTTCTGGGTGGACCTGAAGTAAGAAGATAGGTCTGTATTAGATGGGTTATGAAACGTTCAGCTGGGAAACACTGACCCCATGGTATAGTGATGGCCAGAAGAACATGAAGCCCAGGGAATATGTTCTTCCTTGATTGAGGTTCAGAAAGTCTGGTTTTAACGCTACAACCTGCAAAATCATCAGGTAACAGATGTCCTGTTCTAGGCTTTCACGCCCATGTTTGATATGATACGAAAGTTATCCCCAAGCAGTGGTGCTCCTGAGTGATGGCAGAGTGGTGGTGTCCTGTGCAGCTTACTGTGTGGTATAGCACAGGCCAACTTTGGCCAGAGCCCTGCATCTTGGGAAAATTCCCAGTAACTCTTGTGTCTTATTATCTTTAAACAGTGCCATCTTTTGTTTGTAAATGGCAAAAAGTAAAGCAAAAAAATGTCATTTAGGAGAAACTGAAAGCAAAATACAGAGCACATTGTATTTTAGTTGAAACCTGGCAGTTCCATCTCTGCCACTGTCATCATTCAGCCCAACACTGCTGTCACGAGAAGTCAGGTCAGCCTCATTAGCTTCTCCAGCACCTAAGCCAAAGGCAGGGTGTGCTGACCATGTCTGTGGCATAGTCCATCACACTGACACTTTGAGAGTGGATTGTGCCTGGGGTCGGAGTCTATTTGCCAGTACCCTTTAAACAAATAGTGCAGAAGATGAACCACTGCCCTCCAGCCCAAGGGATTGATAACACTATCAGTGCTCAGATGACACTGGCCCATGGTAACAGTCTTACACCATGAGGCTTCTTTTAATTCAGGAGACATAAGCTCCCAGTGAAAAGTCTCCAAACTATTGAATTTATTACATGCGCGCGCGCGCGCACACACACACACACACACACACACACACACACACACACACACGAACAGAAAAATCTCCAGGTATTGCACTTAAAGCTATACTACTTTTGCTCATTTTTTTCTTGTTAGTTTGTATCTTTGAGATGTAACCCCACCATTGCATATTCCATATACGCTTATTTTGTTTGAATCAAAGTAGGAATAGTGTGAGCACTTGTCAAGATTTGATTACTTGAGATGCCTGATGTTATCCCAGTGAGATGCAAACTATTAGATGAGGTTGGAGATGATTATCTAATGCTTTTATATAAAGATTGAGAAGTATGAGCAATATTCAGCCCATTGGAGCTGTTCTCTGACCCATTTTCATCTACAAGTGTTAGAAAAATATCAAAAGAAGGGGATGAGGTACTTACATGTGATGCCACCCCAAGAAAAATGCTTCTTAGACTAGAATATATACCTGGAACATTATATGCATGGCTCTCTCAGGTGATGCCCTAAGTGGGGTTCATGTCTTCTTTATATCCTCTCTGTAGGGGTGTTTGTCATATAATGTCTTTTTAACGTTACCTATAATGAGAACTTCTACAGTAGTTTGTGTGTTTTCACACAAAGTTTATTATCTTTTCTAGAAACCACATGTCAAATGATAAGGAATACTTTGAACTGAAAATGGGGACTTACAGTTCCAGGACCAAGTGCTGAATGTTGGAAACCTTCCTTTATTCTTTGTTTCATTAAAATATGACCCTTTCTGTCCTGGGGGATGTCTGGGCTCCATGAGACTGCTCCAAATGGGAGGCTTTGCAACAGCAGACTGACTGCTTCCATTTAGCATGGGACTTACAGAGCCAAGCTACAAAGGCACGTCCACACTTGGTGCCCAGACCTTGGCCTCCAGCAGTTAGTTTCAAGTTGGTTTTGAAAAAATGTGCCCCTTTTGTTCTGTCCCTAGAGTGCCTTTAACTTTTGACTAACCTCTGGTCAGTGTGCCTGCAGCTAAGGAGAGCCAACACTAGATGGGAGTCTTCACATCCTTATGATCTTGGATTTGCTGCTTGCCTCTCATAGGTCAAGAGCTGGAAAAACTCCCCATAGACCATACCCAGATGTGGGCAGTATGGTGATTGTTCTTTTAGCAAGCCTTACTGCTTTTTGAGAACACTGTCTCATGTCCTTAATCTGCGGCTTTTTCCAATATGTATGTACAACACACATGCATGCATGCATGGCATTTCCAGACTTAGACACATATATACCCTTCTGTTGTAGGCTTTTTATAGGGACAGGAAGAGATGGGAAGTTTAAAAAGGAGGCATGAAGATGATAAAACGCACCTATTGTAATAAAACATGCTTTATGATATGGTTACAAGTGACCATCAAATACAATTTTCTTTTAGAATAAAACTCTAACACAAGGCCTCATTCAATGAGTAATTCTCAGCTTATACTCTTGTTTCTAATTTCATTCTCTGTGGATTTGCTGGGTGAATAATTACTGCACTAACCCCCAAGCTGTCATCTGCAGTGGGGATAGCTGTACTAATCTTATTGGATTGATTTGAGGATTACATGATGAAGCATATCGTGTGTGGTAGATGTCCTCTGGCAAGTCTAGGTGAGACACTGTGAGCTTATTACATGCCAGGCCTGGTTCCCATCAGTCTCTCTTAAAATATATTTACTGCTCCCAGTGGTCATAGAACATGTGTCTTATTGTTATTATGCCCACCAAGAAGCCAAGTCACAGAGTGATGAAATAATGTGCATGATTGGCATGTCTACATTACTGCCGACGTTGTGTTTATTTTTAGTGGAGTGAGCATTACAACTTTTCATGGAGATCTTGCTGAGCAACAACGAAGGTGTTACCTTTCAAATGACAGACTTACCTAAGATCTAATGAAACCTCCTGACCTTGACTGGTGTTGAGGGTACAGCTTTTACTCAGTGGGGTTCTGTCTGAACTAATTAACCACATGAAGAGAAAGTCTATACCTCTCTCTGCGGGCTCACTCCCTCGCTGCTTCTGTCTCTGGGGCCCTCTCCATGTGTCATCCCCTGTGGAAAGGGTCATGTCAGGAACACTTCAACAGATTCATGATTCTACTTATATAAAGAACTCAGACTCATGATGCTGCGTATAGAAGTCAGAAGTTCAGGGAGAGAGTGCACATGCTGAGTATGAGCTAGATGTTGGACAGGCAGCAAGACTAAGAGCTGAGCACAGGGGCCAGGGCCAGGGACCTGGATCTCTGTGGATAATTTTGTGGTTGACATGTGCACAGATAGGAGGGATGGAAGTGTGTATATAGACTTCACCAGGATTACAGTTACAGTGTACCTTGCCTCTCCTACCAGTGAACTTTGGCTACAGATACTGTATGCCTCCCTGTAGCATTTACGTAAAGTGTTCAGCATTAATAAAATCTTAGGAGTCAGCAATTGAGATTAAAAACCTGATTAAACCAAGGAACAACTTCCCAGGTCTAAAGTCCTGGAAATCGCCTAAGTCCCTCCTTCCTTTCTGTCTCTATCTGACTTCCTCAATCCCCCAACATCTCTATGGTTAATTCCCCCTGCACTCCCTACCTCATCTTCCTTGATTTCAGGTGGCTTTATTGGCACAGTGGTGTGACAGTTTGAACAATTCTGCAACACTCCTGGATCTGCACAAAACCTCTGCAGGCAGCATCTACCAAACATGAGCTGAAGTGGTATTCTCTGGTTTCACAGATAAGGCTTTCTTGTAGCCTTGGCAGTGAGCCCTGTGCCCATGGTCACAGAGGTGGCCTAGCACTGCCAGTGCCCTCTTCCATAGAGTTGCACTGCTACATGGCTGTGTATTTTTGACTTCTGTGTGGGGATAAAGCATCCTTCTTCATATATGTTGGAGATCATTAGTTAGGCTCTTCCTAATGCAGTCAAAGGCTTCATTGTCCCTTGCCTACCACAGTCCCCTTTTTGACTCATACTCATGTCCCATCATCGTATTTTTATTGAATTGAGACTCATCTCAGGGTTTAAACACAAGTTTAGACTTTATGCAAGTCTAACTAAATAGTGTACCAGTAAGTCAAAACTTAACTGCCTTAGTGACATGCTATATCATAACTCCTCGGGTGGGGCTGCACACACTTTCAGTTGTTTCTATAGATGAGTTTGCGACCACCCTAAATGAACCACAATATTTAAATGTGTGACTCCTAAGCTTGAGGTTGCTAAGTTGCTGGCATAGTGAGTTGCAAACTCAAGTTGACTTGAACACAGCTGCTGTTTCCTGTCCTTTCCTATCCAGTTGTGTGGTAGAGTTGACGAGACTTGCTTACCTTAGTAGCTGCTGTGGTTTCATGATCTCATCTCAGAGTTGTATCCTATGGTAGGCCTACCAATATGGAGTCCCATCCTGCCTTAGAGTTATACTAATTAAATGAATGAGCAATGAAGCAGGGTGTGTTTGATCTGTGTTGTTGACCTAATGGGTGAATGAAGCAAAAGAAGTAGAACTATGTGTAACTTGTGAAGAAATGTAAAATATACGCATATTCTTTATTTTAATTTTCAAAAGGTGTTTTTGATGCTTTTGCAAGATACCAACAAAAAGTCTCACATCACTCCAGAAACCAAATTAGAAGCTCAGAATGAAATACCTGCTGGATCCTCTTCTCAACAATGTAAGTAGCATGGGCTTTCATAGTTCTGTTCAAGGCAAAAGGCTACCAATCTCATTTAACATCTGGTTTTAAAAGCAAAATAGCAAGAGCCTGGAGAGAGGACAGAAGAGGGTGGTCATGGGCCTGAGAAAATTTACATCAGAGTGGGACAGCTTAGATTTTGCAAAGGGACAAGATTATCTTTCCCGAACAACATGACTTATTTTTCAGAAATTTCTTAGTATATGCAATTAGCGCAATGAATCTTGCTTATTTAGGTTTGCCATCATCATACACAGACCGATGCTACTTATATCTATGGCATGTTTATGTTTAGCCATGTGCTACTAATAATGGGTTTGTGTGGCTTAAGAGAGCACCAAAGATGAGCCCGTGTCCCAGACTTTGCATGCAGCCTTCTCTGGGCAGATATCAGCAGCTGGACAGAATCTAGGCTTGGTTTCCACAGTACAGAGGTGTGGCTATGGTTCTGATTCAGTCTACTTCTTGTCACATGTTAGTAACAACTCCTCAATACACACGTAGAACCTGTCTCTAGAGAGATAGATGGTAACACCTCTTCTTCAGAAACTTCAGACTTTAGGGACACAGACAAACCCTCTGCAGCCCACCACCATGGATAGATCACTAGAGTTAAATATGATGTGATGTTTAATAATGTGTTCTCTGCAGCACTGTATGGATGTTGCAAATGTCTCATTTCCTCTCTTCTTGTTATTATCAGGTATAAGACACATACATTGATTGTCAGAATTGATGTCTAGTTGGTTTCTAGCTAAGATCTCAATTTATATTTTCCTAATGATTATGATAAATGTTTATACTATTATAACATATTATTGAGACACAATTCTTATTACCCACATTTTACCCATTTAAAATACACAATTTAATGTTTTTTGTTCATGTGTATCTATTACTATACTCAATCTTAGACTGTTTTTATTATTAATATTTCAAAAAGAAAATTATGTCACTTACCCATCACTTTGCATGATTCCAATCCCTCTAGCCTTAAAAAATCTCAAGCATACATCTTGTCTCTCCAGATTAGCCTGTGTGAACATTTTATGTGGATAAGTGATACAGCTAGTTCCTATGATCACAGGGACTTCTACAAACACAGTTTTCTTTCAGTTACCATTTAAAACCCCATTACATGCATATACCAAATTCTTCTGTGTACTCATCAGTTGAAGAAAACTTGTGTTGTTCCCTCCCCCTTTTTTGCATTAAAATATGCACCTAAAACCAATATTTGGTGAGTATATGTTTTTAAGTAGCTACCTATGAATAGAATTGTTGGATCACATGCTTAACAATTTGTCTACTCCTCATATTTTTACCAACAGCATGAAGGTTCCAATTCCTCCAGTCATCGTTAATACACTGATTAGTAACACTGGGAATTTCTTCATGTGCTTATTGGTCATTTAGTAACCCTTTGGAGAAATGACTGTTGCAATTAACTGCATTAATATTTTATGTATTCCTTGATAATTTCATACATGTGTACAATGCATCTTGGTCATGTCCACCATAAATTTTCTCTGAGTCCAATTAGTATGGACCTTATGCTTATGAGTATGGGGTAGTACACTGAATGTTGGTAAGATAATACTGACCATAACTCTGATGTAAACTTACTCCTTCCAATAGCCATTAATTGCCAAATGGCTTTAGATAGAAGTGAGGCCTTAGGGCTGCTTTCCCAGCCACACCAGAATATCGGTTAGTTACTTCTATAACAGCAACATCACTATTGTACTACTGGACACATCTTTTCTGAGAGGTCAGTATTGTAGTATGCAAGTCCCAGTGCTGGGTAAAATTATTACCTTTTTCTCTACTAGTAACTGCACAGTACCTTCTGGCACTATGATAGTCAGCAGGGAGGGATTTTCCCTGTTTATTCCATTTGATTTCCCTATGTGCTGCAATCAAAGAGTTATCATCATCAATAGGATTTTATCATCTATGCATGCTGGACAACCAAGAACAATGGCAATAGACTGGGCTCTTTTGTAGGAATTCTAGGACCTTCCTGCAAATAATTGAAGAGGGATATCCAGTATTTGGCACTGGGATTTCCATCATTAGATAACCCATGTCTGTTGGGAATGGCATTGCCCATTCATGAAGTGTTGCCGTTTAAACTCCTCCACCCCCTTTTAAATTATCCTTTAAAATTATCTTACAAAATAGTGGGTTTCCATAGGGCTTTTTCATACATCTTAGGTTTGTTTAACTTGCCACTCCTTTTTCAAATTAATTTTCAAGTGGTTTCAAGCTGTTGTTGGCTTGAAAGAGTTCTTCTAATTTTTATGGCTATAATTCATGTGTACTCTGATATATTGTGAGTAGACTCACCTATTAGTGTTTATCATGCCCATTTGTTCCATAGTTTATGTAAATTTTCCTTTTACTTCAATTTTCCTTGATTTACTGGTCTGTCACCGGATTTTCTGTCCATTACTGAAGGTGAGATATTGACATTTCTGTTACTATAGAGTGGTCTATTTTTGTTTCTCTAAGTGTTTGCTTTGTATGTTTAAGTCTGATGCTTGATTCTTACGTGGTTGTAATTGTTAAATCCACTGTGATTAAATTCTTTGTACAAAAATTTCAATATGAAGTCCCTTTTCTCTTTTAGCTGTCTTCTATTCATTATTTTTGGTTTGATATTAATATAGCTATCCCCATTTCCTTTTTTGTTTATTAATGACACTAAATATATTTTTGCATTCATCCACTGTCTGTCTATATATCTTTGTATGCCTAAAATGTATCGTTGAATTCTGTCTTTTAATCATGTTTCTTTAGGTATAAATGTTAATCCATTCATCCTTAAGATAATTTCAATACAGTTGTGCTTATTTAACATTTTGGTTCTTATTTTATGTATCTTAGGACTTGCTAGTCCTCTTTTTGTTCATTACTGACTTGTCTATATTTATTTTTTGTAGTATATTTTTTGTTTTGTTTTAAATCTCCATTTATGTGTATTTCATGAATTTTAGTCTGTTATCAGTAATATTATGATATATCAGAATTATAATCTATCTCAAATTAATACTAAGTTAATTTTAATCACATAAAAACTATTGTAGGTCAGCCTTACCCACTTTATGGTATTGTTGTCAAAATGACATTTTTATATATTATGTTCTCATTGTCACAAATTTATAGCTGCTTTATGTTTTAATAATCCATGTTTTTTATCTAGTATAAAAGATTTTATCTGTGGTTGGCTATGTTTTATTCACCCTGAATTGTTTCACTTCAATTTTTATTTCATCTTGCTAAGACATTTTTTAGATGGCACCTCTATTAGTAATGCATGTGCTTAGCTGTTGTTTGTTTCTTTACAAACATACAATTTATCTTCATTTTAAAGGGGCATTTATGCCAGTTATAAAAACCAGTTGGCAGGAGTACTTCTACTACTTTGAACAGTTTTCTGCGCCCTCTGGCAAGTGTGATTTCCTGTAAGATTCCTGCAGTTCCCTGTACCGATGTATCTCTTCCCTTATGACTTTCAGAGTCATACCTTACCCTTTCATGAGTGTCTGTCTCTTCCACTATGTGGGCAGGAAAATGTGCTTGAGATACCAATTGAAAGTATCCTGCTTATTGAGTCCCAGGAACAACAGCCATCTTATACAATGTCTCTGTCATGCTCAGGAGGGATGGTCACTACTGTCTGAGGATCTGTGAGTCATTTTAGCTTTGGGTCATTAAAATGTGAGGAACTGAGTTCTGTCACTGGAGACCTTTATACTTGCCAGCCACATGAATTTCGTTTTTAACAGTGCTGTTGTTTTTGCTTTACCTGTGAGTTTTGGATATCTGAAGGAAAGTGCTTTACGTTTACTTTTGCTGACACAGGCTGCACACATTTTGTAGCAAATGGCTTAAATCTTGGCCATGTCACCAGAAGACATAAACCTGTGTTAAGTACTTCTAAGATGAGGCTGAGCAGTGCTGGATACTCTGCAGGCTCCTCCAGTTCCATTCAAGCCAGATACCTCCCCAGAAGGTGTTTTCATCACCTCAGGATAAATGCACTTAAAATCAAAATGAAACAAAACAAAACAAGCAAAATCCCCTTTCATATAAGGAATGGAGTAGTCAGATTTTTTCTGAAATTCATATTATTGCATATGCAATTTGACATAATTGCAATATATATCATAGTTTGTCTCTCTGTCTTGTTTGTACATTCCCCCCCCCCAAATATATGAGCCTGTTAAATGCTTTGTTTTGTATTTTTTGCCTAAAAGTTTAAATTTTGAATATTCATTTTTCTAAAGATACATTAGTTACTTTCATATGTAACTGTTCTGTAAGAAAATATTGTAAGAGACCCTTGTAAGCACTACCATCAAGGTAACACACAATACAAATGCATTCCCCCTATATATGTCTTACTGTAGTGACACATCCATTTATAAATGATAATTATACATTCTTAACTGGGGAATATTAGAGAAAATCTGTGTAAGTGTATTAGAAATAAAATGTGTGATCAGAATGAATGCCATGTGACGTGTGAAAACATGGTGTCTGGATTTAAAGGCATAGTGTTCAGGAAACAGAAACATTTACATTGTCATTATTAATATATTATAGAAACACAGTTTCATTATTCAAATTACAAAGTTTTAGACTAGAATATAATTTAAAACTCCATTTAAGTCTTTTGTTTCTAATTAAGAAATGATTTCAAGACACATTAAATCAAATTTGGTTTGAGATCACCTATGTTTGCCAGCTTTTATTGTAATCAAAAAAATCCTCACATAAAATTCAGTAAGAGTCAAATTTGTGTTACTCCATAGATACAACTTTAGAAGAATGTTAAGTAGAGATGCTGGAGAGACTGTTACTACAATTCCCTAAATGTGCTTACCTGTTCATCTCATTTCCCTTGGTATGAGTTAGAGCAGAGAAACTCAGTTCCTAGAATAACTATTAGACAAGGGCCTTCTCTTCTACAG